CACTCATGCACACACATATACAATATATTACAGTGTCAACATACAAGGATAAAATTGGAAGTGGAATTTGATACAAATCACAACACGATTAAGCCAGAACAAGAAAAGACTAAAGCAAAGGAAGTCATCCTTCTTTCTCCCCTAAACATCCAAAATATGTAGGTCGCCTACGTTCTGAGAAACAGTAAACAGGCATTGAATCATAGCAAATACCAATGCCATGATGACGCACGTCTTCACTTTATAGAAACCCCTGTTTATCACTGTTCAACGTTATCCTAAAAACTGATATTGAAACTAAATGTGGCTCAACAGCGGTTGTAATTTTAATCTCGAAATGGCATTAGCTTAAAAAAAGTGATTAAAATAATGTTTAAACTGTGAAAACGTAACCCCACTTCCTAGTGAGCGTTACAGTATACTATCATACCAGATGCTTGATAAGGTAGCATGACTGAATGATGTAATGACTGGCTATATTGAATAAGGTTAAACTATATAGTCACACCTGAATCAATTAGGTCATTGTCATGTTAGATTGTTGGTGATCTCATACAAAGTTCAGTGTTTTATACGAAAACTTACATGCATTCGTGCCCTATGTTAAGAAGTAAACAAATATTTTAAAAGTCGTACGAACGAGATAAACAATCGTACGTACGAGTTACGACTTTTTAACTCGTACCCTTTTTATCACGGTCAACTAGAAAGGGACGGTTATGTTTTCACAGTTAAACAATCTTAAATCACATCTTTTAAGCTATGATTTTTGTTCCTAAAAGTGGAACGAATAAGCTCTCTTAGTTTTACGCAAGTCTTACGATTCAAATATAAACACACATAAAACAATAAAAAAAACATTACAATTTTACATCTTTATATTCTCTTTCCAAATGAAAAAAAGCTGTCAATCTTAACGGCACTGTAACAGTTTACCTGTTTCATGTTTTTGTATGTAAACCTGTTTGCTATTTTACTAGATCACTTGAGTGTCATATTAGATTCAAATTGTACGGTTTACGTATTATATACATTTCTGAATCCTAAATGACCATTGGTCAGATTGATAGACATCAGCTGTGCCGTAAGTACATGTAGTAGTTGACCGTACTGCATCTATCTATAACTGAGAGGACATTTTGGAAATATCGGGGTGTTAGGGTAAATGATAGGATTGGTTCGGGTTTTTCTCATCGGTTATATCATATATCCCGTGTAATTTTAAGGTGACATCGATTCCAGCAGAACTAGTCAGCATGATGTTCCTCCATTAACCCCTCTCTTCAACACATAACAGTTTCTCTTCTTTTTTGTGCAGAAACGTGTTCTACTATTATTTACAAAAGTAAAGTGGACTTAGGGGTGTTAACAAAAAAAGAGCCCTAAAATGTTAATTGAATTATTTCATAGCTCTTGGAACAGCGAGGTAGAGTAGTATGTAGCTTTTAGCCCTAGGATTTCTCAAATATGCTACAATTTAATGTTATGCAAACTGATTGTTGGTCTTCACAGTTGAACATTTTGACAGTGCTGTAATGTACCAATACTCAAATTAAGAAAATCATTATTCCGTTGGAAAAAGTATGTATGAAGAAGTCACACATAGAACATAATAAGGTAAAACGGTCCTGCTTATATTGAAATTGTAATTCCATGTCAGAATGACAGCGAACCGGTAGTATGCCATTATTCCTATCACCTTTAAAACAGACGTGATAGAAACATTATATCTAGTACATGATCAATTTACGATGGCGTCCGTCAATTGAAACTTGGTCCTTAGATGAGACGATGTCAGCTATCAACAGACGACGTTTGCTTACAGAACAGTCTAATTAGTGATTCTAATTAAGAAATCGGATAGGACATTTATTTTGTCAGGTCAAACGCCACCTCAACATAGACGGATACTATATGTATTTCATTTGCAACTTCTCCGGTTGTTTGATATAGATTTACATTGCGCGTGTCATCGTAGCAAACGACACTTCCTACCCTTCCGGGACTCCTGGTCTTATTCTCCTTGTACATTGTATGGGTGTCGCCGAATTTTGTTTACATTTGTCCTAGATTATCTACCTGGTCTTATTCTCCTTGTACATTGTATGGGGGTCGGCGAATTTTGTTAACATTTTGCCCTAGTTTATTTACCTGGTCTTATTCTCCTTGTATATGTACATTGTATGGGTGTCGGCGAATTTTGTTTATATATTGCCCTTGTTTATCTACCTGGTCTTATTCTCCTTGTACATTGTATGGGTGTCGGCGAAATTTGTTTACATTTTGCCCTAGTTTATCGATCTGGTCTTATTCTCCTTGTATATTGTAAGGGTGTCGGCGAATTTTGTTTATATATTGCCCTTGTTTATCTTCCTGGTCTTATTCTCCTTGTACATTGTATGGGTGTCGGCGACTTTTGTTTACATTTTGCCCTAGTTTATCTACCTGGTCTTATACTCCTTGTACATTGTATGGGTGTCGGCGGAATTTATTTATATTTTGCCCTAAATTATCTACCTGGTCTTATTCTCCTTATTACATGTACATTGTATAGGTGTCGGCGAATTTAGATTACATTTTGCCCAGTTTATCTACCTGGTCTTATTCTCCTTGTACATTGTATGGGTGTCGGCGAAATTTGTTTACATTTTGCCCTAGTTTATCGATCTGGTCTTATTCTCCTTGTATATTGTAAGGGTGTCGGCGAATTTTGTTTATATATTGCCCTTGTTTATCTACCTGGTCTTATTCTCCTTGTATATTGTTAGGGTGTCGGCGAATTTTGTTTATATTTTGCCCTAGTTTATCTACCTGGTCTTATTCTCCTTATTACATGTACATTGTATAGGTGTCGGCGAATTTTGTTTACATTTTTCCCAGTTTATCTACCTGGTCTTATTCTCCTTGTACATTGTATAGGTGTCGGCGAATTTTGTTTACATTTTGCCCTAGTTTATATCCCTGGTCTTATTCTCCTTGTACATTGTATGGGTGTCAGCGAATTTTGTTTATATGTTGCCCTAGTTTATCTAACTGGTCTTATTCTCCTTGTACATGTACATTGTATGGGTGTCGGCGAATTTTGTTTACATTTTGCCCTAGTTTATATACCTGGTCTTATTATCCTTGTACATTGTATGGGTGTCAGCGAATTTTGTTTATATGTTGCCCTAGTTTATCTACCTGGTGTTATTCTCCTTGTACGTTGTATGGGTGTCGGCGAATTTTATTTACATTTTGCCCTAGTTTATCTCCCTGGTCTTATTCTCCTGGTACATGTACATTATATGGGTATCGGCGAATTTTGTTTACATTTTGCCCTAGTTTATATGCCTGGTCTTATTCTCCTTGTACAATGTATGGGGGTCGGCGAATTTTGTTTACATTTTGGCCAGTTTATCTACCTGGTCTTATTTTCCTTGTACATCGTGTGGGTGTCGGTGGATTTTGTTTATATTTTGCACTTGTTTATCTACCTGGTCTTATACTCCATGTACATTGTATGGGGGTCGGCGAATTTTGTTTACATTTTGCCCTAGTTTATATCCCTGGTCTTATTCTCCTTGTACATTGTATGGTGTCGGCGAATTTTGTTTATACATTGCCCTTGTTTATCTACCTGGCCTTATACTCCATGTACATTGTATGGGGGTCGGCGAATTTTGTTTACATTTTGCCCTAGTTTATCTCCCTGGTCTTATTCTCCTGGTACATGGACATTGTATGGGTGTCTGCGAATTTTGTTTACATTTTGCCCTAGTTTATATACCTGGTCTTATTCTCCTTGTACTTTGTATGGGTGTCAGCGAATTTTGTTTACATTTTGCCCAGTTTATCTACCTGGTCTTATTTTCCTTGTACATCGTGTGGGTGTCGGTGAATTTTGTTTATATTTTGCCCTTGTTTATCTACCTGGTCTTATTCTCCTTGTTCATCGTATGGGTGTCGGCGGAATTTATTTATATTTTGCCCTAGATTATCTACCTGGTCTTATTCTCCTTGTACATTGTATAGGTGTCGGGGATTTTTTTTACATTATTTCCTAGTTTATCTACCTGGTCTTATTCTCCCGGTACATGTACATTGTATGGGTGTCGGCGAATTTTGTTTATATATTGCCCTTGTTTATCTACCTGGTCTTATTCTCCTTGTACAATGTATGGGTGTCGGCGAATTTTGTTTACATTTTGCCCAGTTTATCCACCTGGTCTTATTCTCCTTGTACATTGTATGGGTGTCGGCGAATTTTGTTTATATTTTGCCCTAGTTTATTAACTTGGTCTTATTCTCCTTGTTCATCGTATGGGTGTCGGCGAATTTTGTTTATATTTTGCCCTAGTTTGTCTACCTGGTCTTATTTTCCTTGTACATCGTATGGGTGTCGGCAAATTTTGTTTATATTTTGCCCTAGTTTATCTACCTTGTCTTATTCTCCTTGTACATCGTATGGGTGTCGGTGAATTTTGTTTATATTTTGCCCTAGTTTATCTATCTGGTCTTATTCTCCTTGTGCATTGTATAGGTGTTGGCGAATTTTGTTTATATTTTGCCCTAGTTTATCTATTTCTAGTGCCTATTACGGTGCTGTTGACCTTTTTTTGTATTTACTATTTTGTCTGTTTTTTATCTGTGATAACACAGCATCATCAACACTACGACCTACATATCCTTAACTAGGTACGTGACGTATGTACCCCAAATTATTTCAATCGTGTAGTTCAGTTTTCTAAAACAGCGAGTGTCTGTGTATTTGAAGTGTACAATTCAGTTTTATTTGACTGGGGTTTGGCGGGGATAGGCATGAGTTTAAACTAAACAAACATTAATTAATCACGGGACTCACTTCCTACGATTTGGGTGTGGGAGGATCGTAAACTGTCACCTGTCTATATCGAGTAAAGGTTATCAATCTGACCCCTCTCACGAGACTTTGAAACCCTGTACTGTAGCTTTTTTCGTATTGGAGGAGAAAGCGATAGAACTAAAATTGGCGACTGACCACAATTAAGGTATTTAATTCCAGACCAGTGTGACCTGCAGCTATGACTGATATGTCCATGTGAAACGCCTATAAAGTGAAGTTCACTATGTACATACAAACAATGATAGGGACTGATATATAAGCACACAGTGTGATCGTTCACGTTTACCTTGCTATTGGTGTTAGTATTACTTATACACAGGACTATTTCATAGGCCTGACTGAAATACCTGGGAGTTTACCTGGGCGAGCACGTGACAACATGTGTGATTTATAAGTTGGCGGGCATCTACATAGATTTAACTTCAGACGAAAACAAAGGGTTGTCCGCGGTGTAGTTTGGGACTGCAGCAGGGAGTTCTTCTTAAACTGTTCGGTATATGACATAATGTGTGATTCTCTTAATCCTTAGTGGACATCAGGAATAACTATGGTGATTCTGAGGACGAACTTTATCAAGTGTGTGGTGATAGGAGACGATGCTGTGGGTAAAACCAGCATGTTGGTGTGCTATGCCACAAATAAATTCCCCGAGACGCAACATCTTCCCTCTGTCTTTGATAACTATGCGGGTAGGTAACCCCCCTTTCCAAATCGTCCCGAAGTTTGACCAGTGGTCAGTATTATCAGGGCAATAATTACTTTCCACACATTAACTGTAATGTTTACTACACGAGACACGATGTGAGCTATTTTTGGTTTGTTTTCGTCGATTTGGGTCAGTGGTTCTGTGCCATGCGCTGATTCTGTCTAACACATGGCATCATTAATCATAGAGATGAATAGACATAATTTCTATATACGTAATAACACTTCTTAAAAGCTCATTATCTCATACACATATTTGTTCACATATATTGATAATGGCCTTGTCTATTACATAATTTAAGGTCATTTTCCTGTTCATTCCCCTTCTGCATTGTACTATATTAATACTTATTTGTACATTTAAGAATGATGAAGACAACAATTGGGTTTTAATGTTATTAACAAGCTTGTTTCATGTCGAATTCACCTTTATTGTATATTTATCAGTTATATTTAGTATATTACGTGATGAAAGTTCATGTCTATACGATATGCGAATTAATATATATGAAGTTACTGAAATAAGATATTGTATATTTAGTAATATAACTTATCATCTTCAATGGTAATGGTCAGGATACTTTTATGTTTCACTGGTAAGCTCATCATGCCTAGCTATACTTGACCAAACTATTTATTATTAGATGGTCAAAGGACTGACAACGACCTTTCGGTTTTGTACTCTGGCCTAATATTATCGACCTGTTTAATGTTGACAGTTTTGTTTTTTCTCTCGTTGATAGGGAACATTTGCATATCTGGAAAGCGATATCACCTGCAGCTGATTGACACATTGGAACAGGTGAGATACGTGACGGGGTGGTTTACCTGTACTCTGATGAGAAGGTGGCGTACATAATGTCCAACACGTTTACCTTGCGATATAAACTAAGCGTTGAGCAATTTTAGCTTGATATTTCGTAAGGAATGACATACTTGGTCATAAACATGTAATCTGGAAACTGGTTTGAAGTGATGTTTGAGGAGTGACATCCGTTTACTAAAGTTAAAAGACAACAAGTTTGTCACGAATCTCTGCGAGTTTTTCAATAACACATTGATAAGACTTATAGTTTAATAACATTATAATAGTTAATCATTTATTCACAGCATCATATTTTTTGAATTTCAATACCAGAAACGCACGAATATGTTAATAATGCATATTTCTTTAAAAATAAAAGAGGGGAGGGGGATGGTAAAATGATGAATAAATCTTTTTTCTTTCTTCCAAAGTTAGATAACACTAAAATCATTTACCAACTCTTGAATTCATTATGTATTAACTGACCACTGTCCACATCAACTGTAATATGCTCTAGTGACGACGCCCATTCATTCGTTCATTCAACACTGTCGAAATTGACCACCATATACTCTATTAACGCCCCCTCATTCAACAACACTGTCCGATCCGACCACAGTGTCATATATAGTGACGCACCTATACTTGATACCAGACACACGTAAGCCTACAGGTATGTTGTATACCGGTAATTGCGGGAATACATAAACATATGTCAATAGCTGTCGGAAGTAATTTCACGATCATGTGTATCCGCTATTAAACCTATTCTGTGTATTGCCCATTTTACTGCAGGGCTTCAGAACCAACGATGCAGAACACGGTTTTGTTACATTGTAACTCATTTCTTCTGACTACTTTTATCATAGGAGGCATCTTCAAATAAGTAGGTGTGTTGCTTGATTAAAGATGTTTGAATTTAGCTTGAAGGTTAAAATAAAAAGGAAAGACTGCCAAACCCAATAGTTTATTTGGTAAATTTGAAGTGATATTATCTATTAATGTCGGCTTTCTTGTCTTTATTCTATATCAATATAGTAATGTGTTGCAAATTGGCCCTAAGTTATCCCATATGTTATTTGATGGCAAAATATTGGTGATAGCGCCATTTAAACAGTCTGCAATATGGGATTATCTGCAGATTTCATGCCCGGTATCTACACTATGTGTTCGAAAATAAACAGGGGATAAAACCTGTAAAAAAAATCTAGATATTAATTCATTAAAGCTTGACTGCAATGTACATTAATGCATAAACAATGTAATGCTGGAAAGGGAAATCATTTATTGAGGATAAAAAATACGTTATATGTTCTAATTATGATATATCAAATAGCTTAGAAATAATCAAATACATTTGAAATAATTCATAAAATGAAAATTAAATTGGAATCATAATTATGCTTACAAGAGGATAACGTTAAAAATGTGTTACTAATTAATAACTAATCACTTAATATACATTAATCAATTAGTATATATTTATCATTTATAATAAGTTATTTACTAATTATACAGTAACCACTAATTATCCATTAATCACTAATTATCCATTAAATACAAATTGAACTACAAGTTATACTTTTATCATTTATTAGATATGTACTTTTAGCACTAACAAACATGAATCACTAATCATACATTAATCACTAATCACACATTTATCACTACATATAGTTATTTCTTTACTTGCATCACTAATACATTAATCAAAAATTCATATATCACTAAATAATATTGTGCATTAATGATATATTGTACATTACCCACTAATAATGCATTATACAGTATCATATATTAAACATTAATCACAAATACAGTAATCGCTTAATATACATTTTTTTCTTTTATTATACATTAATCACTAAATATGCTGTCATTAATAGATATACATTAAGCACCTTAGATACTTGAATAAAAATAGCATTTGTCCTAGTATTGATATTCAACCTCCAAAATATCTACCCTGTATTCTGTATGCTATTGAATGTTGAAACGTGTACACATGTAGTGAAGGTACCCTCGTTTTTATATATCAGTGGGTTGATACTGTAAACATCCAGCCCTCCACTCAAAATAGACACATTCAGAACAAGGAACAAAAATAATCACATATCCATGCATTTTATGTTCCAATATCAAAACGATAAGAAATAGAAAAGAACATGTTGTTTTAATGTATAACAAACATTTACGTTTCTGTCAGTGGTCCTTGACAAATGTTTTTGCTGATGTTTTATTATATAAACATGACACGTGATGTCCATCAAATTTGTATTCATATTTTACCTTCAATATCATTTCCATGATGGATTGATTGATCAAAATAAGATAAACTGTTATTTATTTGTAAATCCTCTTATTTTAGTAAAACATATAGATATTGTTCCTAGAAATGTGTCTCCTGTCCACGAAGTTTAACAACACGGATGTCTAAGGGCGTTATACAGGTCTCATCAATCAAACAGTGTTCATACATTTTAAACATCGTCCAACTGACGTCGACATTATAAAAGTTAAGCGTTGCAAGAACTGAAGATGTATTCTGTATTATAAAGACAGAATAAGTTTTCATGTGATAAAGATTTAGTTTCCTTGTTTACTTTAAAACAATCATTAATCAATTTCGCTTTCTTCCGTTGGCATATCTCCCTCTATCTCCGAAAAATATTCTTTCATGAAGTGAAAAATGACAAAGCTATCATATTTGAGTTTTTATTCAGTGGTGGACTTTTAAAATATTTTATGCGGAAATACAGAGGTTCGCGCATAACACCTATATCCACTAACAATGTAGTCACTTTGGAGTCACTTGAAGTGTTAACACACTAAAATGTCTGAACTTGGACATGGCAGTGCGATGATCGGTTCGGTCATATTACTGACGACTGACACTTGTACAAAACATCTCAAAGTTGAGGAAATTCTCAAGCAATGTATTGTCTATGGAAAATTTTAGACTTGAAGAAATCTTTAGAGTTGAGATGGTTTATGCAAGCGCAGGACCTTAAGGAGGCAACGCCGAACCGAAAGTGAAGGGAAAAGTCAGAACAGAACATAATAAAATAGTTATCCTGTTGCAAACTTGGATTATCGATGAACAAAACGTCATCTTCCTGTTTTCATGACAGTGTCTATTAAATAAAAAAACCCACCTATGTCTACACAGGGGTTTCATAAAGAGTAATTGCACTGGTATGACACAACTTGTGTACGGTAGCATTCTTTCAATCATCAGATCAAGGTTTTGTTGTCACGCTTCAATTGTTCGTTGCTACAAATTGAAGATGTGAAGCAATGTGGTACGAGTTGAAAATATTAAGCAATGTTATGATTGGAAAAAAATCACTGCAAATGCAAAGAAAATATGCACCCATTTAAAAAGTGCGTTTTCAGATTCAGAAAAATGTATAGATAAACGTTTTACCGCACTATTTTGCCATTTCGTCCATTTAGGGCACTTCACTGGTATTGAAAGTTAGTATTGAAACAAAATTTTCTGTTAAACATCTAACACGGCCAGACAATACTTCCGCCGATTCTACAGTGTTTTTCGTAATCGGCTCGTAAGTATAAATTTGTCCGACAGCAGACCAGCAAATAACGCTTTACATTTCCAGCCACGTATACACCACATGTGATCGATCATGGTCGACAAATGTACGTGATAGTACTCAGAGACCCTTACCATATAGGTATAAAAAGTATCAAAATTAAGGGGCATAGTAGTAGAGGATTTGTTTCTCGTTCGGTATGTAGCTCTGACCTTCGTCCGTCAGACGTAATCATAGCTGTCGTGACTAGATAGTATAACGTTATATAATACAAATCTGTCTGTAAATATATCAAAACATAATCAATAATCGATGATGTCGGCAAATTTGTGAGAAAAACTGAAGTTATATACTGAAAGAAGTGCTTTGTTTGTTCTGTTTGCATTTTAGTGCTGACCTTTCTTGATATACGATCATAACCGTACTGTCATCGGCTAACATAAAGTGTGCCCTGTACTTTCAGTTGTTTTTGTCTGGTAAAAGAATTCGAACAATAACCTAATGAAACATCACAAGCTGCTGGCATGTGTTGGCACATCGTATACTGTGTGGTCCTTTTATCATCGAGTTACAAATGTAAGGTATACATATATGATCTACTGCAACAGCTCTTCCGCGAAAAGCATTTTTATAAACCAGACATTATTTCACGTCTCCTTCATTGTTTTCTGTAACTGTATTAACATTACATTTCGCGGAGGTATTATCTGAGCTTAATTAGCTGTTCGCGCAATTTCTTCCGTAAACAAAATAGCAAAAAACATAACCCCAGCGAATTTAAAACACCGTACAGAAATTGTAAGGCTACCTTTACATTTTATTTGATCACATGGTTGAAAGTGATTCAACTCTTATTTTTAAAAAGTAACCGGAATCCCCCGGCACCAGTCGAACAAACCCTGTACCCCGCGGCCTTCACAATGGTCTACAATGTACATAATATGCATATGAAGATGTCTACAGCTGATATACACTGTAGTATCTGTCCAAATATCTTGACTAAGTTAACTACCAATAGATGAATCAAACAAACAATTAAAGAACTAAATTGTTTTAAACAGTTTTAAAAGTACTCGTTCACCATCTTCCTAATTAACATAATTATTTCTACAGGGAACAACACCCGTACAGACAAGAAAAACACACCACTTAACTGACGTTACCATGTTTTATTTTCTTTATACAAATATCTAAATATAGAAACCTACTGTCCTTTATATAATGTTTATATTTTCTCTCACTTCAGGATCCATGTTCTGACATCACACAACACGTGTTTCCAGGAACAGACGTGTTCGTCGTGTGTTTCTCAGCCGTCAGACCAGAGTCTTTCAACAATGCTGAAAAGAAATGGATCCCCATTATTAAGAAACAAATGGGGGACACCCCTTACATACTGGTTAACACACAGACTGACCTTCGAACGGACAGTACCGTACTTCAGGAACTTCGGCGATGTGGTCGGAGTCCAATATCCAAGTTGGACGGCGCTGCCATGGGGAGACGACTTGGAGCGTCTTCTTACATCGAGTGTTCGCCAGGCGATCAAAAGAAAATGAAACAATTGATAAACAATGCTATAGTATCTGTGTTGAGTCCGAACGACTACAATGGACAAGCATGTACCATACTGTAGCTGGTCAATAGGACGGGTTATCAATGTCCTGGAGAGAGTCTTCCATGAAAGAGGCCATTGGTAGTACTAGCAGACGTATTGCTATGAATATTGGACGTACTGATAGACACAATGCTATGACTATATTAGGCAAAGTGTCCACTGGAATTTGTGTTTTCAGTACTAAATATATTACTTGAAGTTTTTTTTGTCATTTCGTATTCAAATACTCGTTAATAAGCCTAATGATCATATAATGCAAGTCAGAGTTTTGTTGGATGTTCTTTGAAGAAATAATTATTAACTATGATGGATCTGAACTCACGTATCGAAGCTCTGATTTTGCTATAAGAGAGTATAAGAGAGTACAAGAGAGTTAGGGCAAGTATGGCCCGCGTGGCCGGCCCAACTGAACAGTTGACGAGAGAGTTGATGTCTGACCATCCAATTTATATTTGATAAACGATATTCCCTGTCTCATATCTATACACATATACTGGAGCCATTACAAAGCAATGTGTTTTACTTCAAACCAGAGAGACGCAAGAAGCGTATCTATGACATTGATAAACAAATTATTTTGATTTTCCTTATTTAAAAAAATTACCAACGGTTCAGAAAATTTGAAAACGAATGATGATGCATTATATCTTTTAGCGAAGGACTATGTATACAGCGCGGTGTGTCAAATGTGAAAGTTAAAAAAACAGCGTTCTCAAAGCTGAGGAGCAAGTGATGTAGCGACACCTAGTAATTTTATTATCTCTAGTTTAACCCGGTCAGTCGACAAACACGCAACCTATGGTTCAATCAGGAGTCGAAACAAGACCTTTCTCACACGCAATGTTATATGTACTTAGTGATACCGAGGCAAGTACTACTATAAACTATGTAACACTAGTTCAGTTGATATATACATATTTATATAAATAGTTTGACCGAAACACGCCCATCAAACCGTCATGTACATAGTATCAAAGAGCGTTTTTTATTGAGAAAACTTTCGGCGAAATTTTAAAACGCTTCACACAACAACTCATTGAGACAGAACAAAAGTAATTTACTGAGAAAATTTCCAGACAAACCTTCACGGAGTATATTTACTGGATCCTACTGCAGTCGGTCCTGAATGTGTTGATACACACAAGTTATTGCCTTTATCTTGAGATTTCAAACACCTGTTTACATGTTTATTGCAAACTCGGAATATATCACTCAGTTCAGAAGGAAGCAGTTTTCCCTTTATAAATCTGTTTCATATTTCTAGGATCAGAGAGTCCATCAGATAGAATAGAAAATAACCACCCCGCATCTCCACAGATACTGTCGTGTGAGCCTTGTCTTTACCTAGAATGACACCTCTAGTTAAACGAATGTGATCATATAATTAATGACTGACATCGTCGGTTGTAATTTATTCAACGAAAGTAAACGTTAGGCAACAAATAAGGCTGTAAAGCAAGCAGATTATTTCACAGACAAAACTGTTGGTATCGAGAAGATGTTTCCCTCCTCCTTATTTAGACCTAAATGCATCTAATTAGTTATGTATATATAATTATATCTTTGATCATACTAACAGCACATTGGCCGAACATGTCTATGGACGACCACAGTTTCAAGGTATTTTTGTGTTTTACACTTAATTAACCTCTTTATCGTTAAACATGTCGGCTTAGCTTATGCCATGTGATATGAATGTGTCTTATGAAATAAGTGCCTTATATTGGATGAGGAGGTTGAGTTGTTTTTATTTTTATTGATGTACTTGTTTATACACATTGTTGAAAATATATAGCACATTCTTGATAACTATGTATTTGTTTTATTTCTCTTTTGTCATACTGATCTTACGTATAGGATTAGAACCCAACGTTCATTTTTGTTCATTATTACTCAAATGTATTTTAGATAGAAAAACACATACTCTCACGATAATATAATCTACATGTGTAATTATTGTTCAAATATGTTTCATCGCAAGCAGGTACTGAATTAATTACTCGGACAAGCCGCTATCTTTAATCGAAACGGGTGCTGATATTTCAATTATACAGTGAATACTGTTGTCTGCGCTGTATTTGGTTTAGCAAACTTTGTGTGGAGGGTTCGGACGGTGTAGAATGAACTGGTACGAAACGATGTGTATGAAATGGAACAACTAAAAATGCGCATGGTTATGATGTCACAACTACTGTTTGATACAGTGATCACTGAGCAACATAAATATGTTTGATGGAGTGAGAACTGAGCAATATACACGTGTTTGATACAGTTTTTGGTACAGTGTACTGAGTAACATACAAGTGTTTGATACAGTGATCACTGAGCAATAAACAAGTGTTTGATACAGTGAGTCCTGAACAACTTACACATACAATGATCACTGAGCAATATACAAGTGTTTGATACAGTAATCACTGAGCAACATACACGTGTTTGATACAGTGAGTACTGAGCAACATACATGTGTGTGATACAGTGAAATACTGAACAACATACACGTGTTTGATACAGTGAGTACTAAGCAACATAAATATGTTTGATACAGTGATCACTGAGCAATATGCAAGTGTTTGATACGGTGATCACTGAGCAACATACATGTGTTTGATACAGTGAGTACTGAGCAACATAAATATGTTTGATACAATGATCGCTGAGCAATATACATGCGTTTGATACAGTGATCACTTAGCAATATGCAAGTGTTTGATACGGTGATCACTGAGCAATATACAAGTGTTTGATACAGTGATCACTGCGCAACATACACGTGTTTGATACAGTGAGTACTGAGCAACATATCTATGTTTGATACAGTGATCACTGAGCAACATATATATGTTTGATACAGTGTGTACTGAGCAACATAAATATGTTTGATACAGTAAGTACTGAGCAACATAAATATGTTTGATACAGTGAGTACTGAGCAACATACCTATGTTTGATACAGTGATCACTGAGCAACATATGTATGTTTGATACAGTGAGAACTGAGCAATATACATGTACACGTGTTTGATACAGTGATTACCGATCAACATACATGTGTTTGATACAGTGAGTACTGAACCACATAAATATGTTTGATACAGTTAGTACCAAGTAACATACATGTGTTTGATACAGTGAGTACTGAGCAACATCTATATGTTTGATACAGTGAGTACTAAGCAACATAAATATGTTTGATACAGTGATCACTGAGCAATATATATATATGTTTGATACGGTGAGAACTGAGCAATATACATGTACACGTGTTTAATACAATGAGTCCTGAACAACTTACACGTGGTGCTACAGTGATCACTGAGCAACATAAATATGTTTGATACAATGATCACTGAGCAATATACATGTGTTTGATACAGTGATCACTGAGCAATGTACAAGTGTTTGATACAGTGATCACTGAGCAACATACACGTGTTTGATACAGTGAGTACTGAGCAACATAAATTATTTGATACAGTCAGTACTGAGCAACATACATGTGTTTGATACAGTGATTACCGACGAGCAACATACATGTGTTTGATACAGTGATTACCGACGAGCAACATACATGTGTTTGATACAGTGAGTACTGGGCAACATAAATATGTTTGATACAATGATCACTGAGCAATATACATGTGTTTGATACAGTGATCGATGAGCAACATAAATGTGTTTGATACAGTGAGTAGTGAGCAACATAAATATGTTTGATACAGTGAGTACTGAGCAACATATATATGTTTGATACAGTGAGAACTGAGCAACATATATATGTTTAATACAGTGTGTACTGAGCAACATATATATGTATGATACAGTGAGAACTGAGCAATATACATGTACACGTGTTTGATACAGTAATTACCGATCAACATACATGTGTTTGATACAGTGAGTACTGAACCACATCAATATGTTTGATACAGTTAGTACCAAGTAACATACATGTGTTTGATACAGTGAGTACTGAGCAACATCTATATGTTTGATACAGTGAGTACTAAGCAACATAAATATGTTTGATACGGTGAGAACTGAGCAATATACATGTACACGTGTTTGATACAATGAGTCCTGAACAACTTACACGTGTTTGATACAGTGATCACTGAGCAACATAAATATGTTTGATACAATGAGTACTGAACAACATATATATGTTTGACACACTGAGTACTGAGCAACATAAATGTGTTTGATACAGTGAGTACTAAGCAACATAAATATGTTTGATACAGTGATTACTGAGTAACATACAAGTGTTTGATACAGTGATCACTGAGTGTTTGATGCAGTGATTAATGAGCAACATAAACGTGTTTGATACAGTGAGTACTGATCAACATACACGTGTTTGATACAGTGATTACTGGGCAACATAAATGTGTTTGATACAGTGAGAACTGAGCAATATACACGTGTTTGATAGAGTGAGATCTGAGCAGCATATATATGTTTGATACAGTGATCACTGAGCAACATAAACGTTTTTGATACAGTGAGTACTGAGCAACATAAATGTGTTTGATACAGTTTGTACTAAGCAACATTATGAGTACTAAGCAACATAAATATGTTTGATACAGTGATCACTGAGTAACATAAATATGTTTGATACAGTGAGTACTGAGAAACATATATGTGTTTGATACAGTGAGTCCTGAACAACTTACACGTGTTTGATACAGTGAGTACTGAGCAACATACAAGTGTTTGATATAGTGAGTACTGAGCAACATAAATGTGTTTGATACAGTGAGTACTACGTGTTTGATACAGTGATCACTGGGCAACATATATATGTTTGATACAGTGAATACTGAACAACTTACACGTGTTTGATACACTGATCACTGGGCAACATATATATGTTTGATACAGTGAATACTGAACAACTTACACATGTTTGATCATATATATGTTTGATACAGTGTGTACTGAGCAACATATATATGTTTGACACACTGAGTACTGAGCAACATAAATGTGTTTGATACAGTTTGTACTAAGCAACATTACATTAATGTGTTTGATACAGTGAGTACTGAGCAACATACATGCGTTTGATACAGTGATTACCGAGCAACATAAATATGTTTGATACAATGTGTACTGAGCAACATATATGTGTTGGATACAGTGAATACTGAACAACTTACACATGTTTGATACCGTGATCACTGAGCAACATAGATATGTTTGATAAAGTGAGTACTGAGTAACATACAAGTGTTTGATACAGTGAGTACTGAGCAATTTACACGTGTTTGATATAGTGATCACTAATCAACATATATCTGTTTGATACAGTGAGTACTGAGCAACATACATGCGTTTGATACAGTGATTACCGAGCAACATAAATATGTTTGATACAATGAGTCCTGAACAACTTACACGTGTTTGATACAGTGACCACTCAGCAACATAAATATGCTTGATACAGTGAGTACTGAACAACTTACACGTGTTTGATACAGGGATCACTGGGTAAGATATATGTGTTTGATACAGTGATCACTGAGCAGCATATATATGTTTGATACAGTGATCACTGAGCAACATAGATATGTTTGCTACCGTGAGTACTGAGTAACATACAAGTGTTTGATACAGTGAGTACTGAGCAATTTACACGTGTTTGATATAGTGATCACTAATCAACATATATCTGTTTGATACAGTGAGTACTGAGCAACATACATGCGTTTGATACAGTGATTACCGAGCAACATAAATATGTTTGATACAATGTGTACTGAGCAACATATATGTGTTGGATACAGTGAATACTGAACAACTTACACATGTTTGATCATATATATGTTTGATACAGTGTGTACTGAGCAACATATATATGTTTTACACACTGAGTACTGAGCAACATAAATGTGTTTGATACAGTGAGTACTAAGCAACATAAATATGTTTGATACGGTGAGAACTGAGCAATATACACGTTTTTGATACGGAGAGAACTGAGCAGCATATATCTGTTTGATACAGTGAGTACTGAACAACTTACACATGTTTGATACAGGGATCACTGGGCAAGATATATGTGTTTGATACAGTGAACACTGAGCAACATATATATGTTTGATACAGTGTGTACTGAGCAACATATATATGTTTGACACACTGAGTACTGAGCAACATAAATGTGTTTGATACAGTTTGTACTAAGCAACATTATGAGTACTAAGCAACATAAATATGTTTGATACAGTGATTACTGAGTAACATACAAGTGTTTGATACAGTGATCACTGAGTGT